ATATGGGGTCAGCTCCTTTCATTTAGCTTCTCAGACACAGTGGGGTTTTTGTGAAATTCATGATATTATGTTACACTGAAGACATACCTCCGGATTATTTGCAACACCAGTTTGCCACAGTGTTGTAGATGTGACAAGGGTGGGGGTCGGGTCGAGAATCCACATTGTGGACACCTGTTAGGCCAGAGTCATTAAGGGGAACAGTAACGCGTGACAACTCACTGGGCCTCCCTTTAATATAGAGCTTTCCCTCCGTTGCACTGCCCCTTAATTTTTATTAAGTTGATTGTCTTAATCTGGAGAGAAAGGAGATTTTTGTATCTGCCAGCTTCAACTCCATTTACCTTATAATAAACACATCTTTCCTGTTTTCATTTTTCTTCCCAGCTGTCGGCCAAGCTCACCAACCTTCCGACGCTCATTTCCATGAGGCTGGAGTTTCTGAGAATCCTGTGCAGCCACGAGCATTACCTCAATCTGAACCTCTTCTTTATGAATGCTGATACTGCTCCAGCATCCCCCTGCCCCTCCATCTCTTCCCAGGTGATCAGCTACTGAAAAAATTCCTCAAGCTCTTTGATTTAATTAGTTGAGTCACTTATTACTATAAAGGTTGGTCTTGTTAATTAAAAGACAAATCAAGCTATTCACACTGGACCACTTGATCCAGAGACACACAAGTATGGTACCTGAAGTTGCGCCATCTAACTGATCATTTACAAGGTACGCGATTGGTTTCTTCCTAGGCTCAAGGGTCCCTGCTGAGGCCAGGAAGAGCAAGGAATCCATACGCATTATCAGAATTTAGAAAATCATAAATAAGTCACGTAGCTTCCTCTGTCTGGCATCAATCATCTTGCCACATTAGGTGGACCATCTTCTTTGCTCACTTTTCTTTTCCTGAACCCCAGAACCATAAAATTCATGAAATTGCATATTCCTTTATATTAATTCCAAAATGATCTACTAGTGGTTTTCAACACTGGTATTATATCTTTGAGCTATCCTAGAACTTTCTATTAATACTGTTATAAAATGGAGTTGGGTGCAAGATGAGTCCATCTTGAATTATACTCCAGATAATTTAGTTCTTGAAGCACTAAAAAGACCTTGTCATAAACGAATGCAACAGTCTCTTTTATAGAGAATGTATTTCTAATGAGTCTTGTTCTTTATCTGCCACAAAAACAAACAAACAAACAAAAAAACACTTGTATACTATTTAGAGACAAGACTTGGGCTGACGTGGCTAATCTTTTTTTGTAACAGTTTCTCATAGGTTAGGTTCAGCGGGCCCCAGATTCTAGAGGTATTAATTCCAGAGTCAAATAAATTTTGGAAACCCTGTGTTAACTGGTTTGTTCGCATTAGGCCACCAAAGAATCCCTAACTTGTTAGTGTAAATTGTAAATACCCAAGGGGTGGAAGAGAAACGTATTTAATAACCACTGATTCCCAAAGTGATTTCACTATTGGAAACCTTTTTTTTTTCCTCCATAGATTTCTCAAGGGACTCCTGCCCTCTAGAAAAACTTTAAGGAAATGCTGTTTTACAAGACAAATCAGTAGCTCAGGGCAGCAAGCAAGATTTCTCAATATTAGGTTCTATTTTTGTTGCATATTCCTTAATACTAATACAAAGGTGAAGGTTTGTCTTACTAATTAAAAGAAAAAAAAAAAACTTAGCCATTTATGCCAAGTAGCAGGAGCCAGCTGTCAGCCACATGACCATCTCCTTGTGCACTGGGGAGGATCGGACTTACAGCATCAGTTCCAAATGGGCTAACTTTGTCCTGAGTCTTCTGCTCCATTTCCCTTCTGACTACCCCAGGGAGTTAGCAACCCTGGAGCCGAGGCCGAGCCTCGGATTTCCAGAGACGCTTTCGATTCCTTTAGTGCAATGTACAGTGTGCCCCCAAGATAACACAGGAATTATCTAGGACTGATAAGTCTCACACTTCCCTCCCCGACTGCCCTGCTAGTTCTAGCCCGCAGAATTCGGGCAGTATGCAGAAGCTGTACTCAGAAGTGTAGCTGAGGAAGCAGGGTCCTCAAATCAGGGAGGCAGTTTGTAGGAGAGGCATTCCCTGCTCAAAAGCCCCAGCATGGGACACAGTGCCCGTTTCCCTAGGTTTCCCGATCCACATGATATCCTTGGACTTTCATCTTTGCTTCTGATCTGGGGTGGGGAAGGGAGTATGAGTCTTTTTGTGAGAGACCCTGAGGGCTCTGTTTTCATCTTTCCCAGCTGACGGTTCTCTGTCTACGGGGATGGGAAAGCAAAGTGACCACCCGAAGTACAGCTCCCACCTGGGGACTCTCCCTGGGAAGTGCTTACAAAGCCTCCCTCCAGGCAGCCCAGGCTCCTTAAACACTGGCCATTGTGATTTGAATTCCCGGTCCTTGTTCCTTATGGAACTGCTCCTTGCATTTCTTTCTTTCTTTCTTTCTTTCTTTTTTTTTTTTTTAACACATCTCAGTTTATTTTTTTATTTTAATTTTTTAAAATTCAAATCCTTGCATTTCTGTAGAACTCGAGCTCCTGCTCCAGTTTCCAGGACCAGAAGATTGCCAGCATGTTTGATCTGACCCCGGAATACCGTCAGCAGCACTTCCTCACCGGACTTCTCTTTACTGAACTGGCTGCTGCCCTGGACGCTGAAGGAGAAGGGTATGTGTCTGACATGTAAACTGGAATGCAAAGCGGAAACAAAACAAAACAAAAACAAAAGCCAAAAAAAACCCCACAAAACCCAAAAGCTCCTTACTAAAGTTTGCGGCCCAGCCTCTCCTACTTGGCAAAAAAACTCTACCATTCACCAGCTCTGAAGAGCGGAAGTATCCATGTGTTGAGAAAAAGGCGCTCAGGGGGACGTGGAAAGGCATGAAGGACAGAGAGAAACCCTCATAAAATGGCTTTTTCCAGCCACTTATTCATTGAGAAGAATTTCCCATTTCTGCTACAGCAGCCTTCCCGGGGATGCCTTGATTGGTGAACTTAGGAACAAAGCCATTTATAAGATATGCCCCAGATGTGATCTGTGTACACACAGGGGAAGCAGCAAGATGCTGCTTGGCTTCATGTTGACCAAGGAAGTGGCCGCTGATGGGAAGGCAATCACCCAGTGTGCAGATTAGGCTTCTTGCAGGGAGACCTTCCCATGTTGAAAGAGATGCCCCGGGTCCAGGGCTTATAAATCCTTTCACCTTTTATAAGCCTGATCACCCAGGGGCTTGTGGCAAGATCTAGTCTTGAAGTCAGTGGACAGGGATGGAGATGGACCCACCCCTTCTTTCCTTCTCTCCCTGTGCTCCCTGAGCCATAGGCTTAGAAAACCACCATCTGCCCAATCGGATGGAAGGAGACAATGCCTTCCAAAATATTATACACTCCATTCAACACTTAGCAAATGCCTCCCATGGGGTGGACACAGACACAGTCTGGAGTAGATCAGAGATACATCAGTGCACAAAACAGACAAAAGTCCCTGCCCCCATAGAACTCACCATTCAGGGACTCAGATCCAGAGATCGTTAGGATTGGAAGATAATTCAAGCTTCGCCCTTTTGGTGTTCGGGTTAGGCACGAAGAATGGAAGGAACTTGCCCAAAGTTACATGGCGGAACACATCCAGAGCCACGGTCTCCAGAGTCTTTCCTGGGGTTCACCTCCAGTAGCACACCACCGCCCTCCCTGGAAAACCTCTCCCTACGACTCCTCTGTTTTTCCTTCCTCTGCTGAAGAAGTTTCTGGACTCAAGTATGCTGATTAGTGGCAGCATCACTATATGTTTACAGATTTTTGTCTAATTGGAAGTTTTCAAATTTTCTCTAAGTGCTTATAATTTCGTGAAGGAAACAGTGATAGAAGCACCTTCAGCTTATGTTAACTGCTGCAATCACAAAAGTATCCTAAGCGCTTTGACCATATTGATGTTGGCCAAGTGAATGTCTGTCTCTGCCTCCCAGGAGGTCAGTGTGGGAGACGGAATGTTCTTCCAGAAATTCAGGTCCTGAGTGCATCCTTAGAGAGCTTCAATCTCCTCTTCTCTCAATCCTAACTACACTGCTCTCAAGTTTCTCAGTAGAACTTTCTACCCTATAACTAACATAAATTTCAACAGCAACACAAAGTGCCGTGATCTATAAGGTACTGAGAATGAGGTTTGAGCACAAAGAAAATCGCCTTCATGTACAAACACACACACACACACACACACACACACACACGTTTTTCCTTAATTTTCCTTTGCTAGCACTGATCCACGTGACATCTGAAAGTACTCTTTAGTATTTACATTAGCAGAAGTTTCTAATTTCCATTTCCCTTCTACTGAGACGTCAAGGGCAACAGCCCTGACATCTATTTTGATTCCTCATAAAATTGTTGCTGTTTGCTGTTATTTTACTAGCAACAGAGTGGAGTATGTTCAGAGGTCATCATGTAATTTTCAGTCAGGTGGGTATGTTCTTCAAACGCACGCACGCACGCATGCACACACGTGCACGCACATACACACACGGTACCTTTTCTACCCCCCAGAGGGTAAGTAATTAAGAGTGTCTCTCCTTTGGCAACACAATAATCCCTGATTTCTGGGTTGTCAGTTACTCCCCTGGAAAGTCATTAGAAATATTGTCACATACTTATTAGTAACTTTACCATGAGAGCTAAAACCTCAGAAAAATCTCCTTTAACAATACTTCCTCATCATCAGTACTTCCTTTTGCTGCCAATACAATTAATAGACTCACCAACACCTGCCCATCTGAAGGGCAAGGGCCAGTGGGCATGTCTCAGTAGCTGGACTTCTGAAAGGAGCCACAGCTCCAGTTTCTAAGGGTCTCTCTAGAACCCCATTACCTGGAGATGCCCGCAAATGTCCACACGTCATTAAATCCCTAGTGTTTTTCAAGCTTGTGGAAATTATCTAGCATCTCTTTGTTATGCTACCAAATGGTTAAAGACTTAATTCCAATCCTTCACATGCTCTTCCAGAAAATAGAAGGGAGAGGACCCTTTCCAACTCATTCCATGAGACTGGATTTACCCAGATACCAAAAGCAGATAAAAGACATCACAAGAAAACTGCACACTGATATGACTGCAGATATAAATATCCTCAACAAAATACTGGGAAACTGAATTCAACAACGTATAAAAGGGATTATTCGCTGTAGCTACATAGGATTTATCCTAGAAATGCAAGATTGGTTTAACATCTGAAAATCAATTGATATGATACACTCTATGCATAGAATAAAGGATGAAACCCATTCAATCATCTCAATAGATGAAGAAAAAGCTTTTGCCAAAATCTAATACCCTTTCTTGAAAAAACACTCAATAAATCCTATAGAAATAGAAGAGTAGTTCCTCAACCTGAGAAAGGGCGTCTATGAAAAACCCACAGCTAACATTGTACTTATCAGTCGAAGACTGATTGCTTTCCTTCCAAGACCAGGAACAAGATTATCCACTCGTGCTACTGCTATTTTATCCGTCATTGTACTGGAAGCCCTACCCAGAGCAGGTAGGCAAGAAAATGAAATAAAGGCACCCATATTGGGAAGGAAGAAGTAAAACTATCTCTGTTCACAGATGACATGATTTGTTTTTAGAAAGTCCTATGGAACCCACTAAAAGCCTATTAAAGATAATAAATGTGTTCAGCAAGGTTGCAAGGTACAAGATCAATATGCAAAAATCAATTATATTTCCATATCCACACAAACAATGTGGAATGAAATTAAGAAAACAACTCCATTTAAAATAGCATCAAAAAATAATAAAAATCATAGGACTAAATTTTTTAGCAAAAGAAGTGTAAGACTTGCACACCAAAAACTATAAAATACTTTAGAAATAAAAAGATCTAAACAAGTGGAGATTCATGACATATTCATGGATCAGAAGACTTAATACTACTAAGATGGCAATACTCCCCAAGTTGATCTACAAGGTCAGTGCAACTCCTCTCAAAATTCCAGCTGGATTCTTTGCAGATATTGACATGCTGACCCTAAGATTCATATGAAAATTCAAGGGACCCAATAGCCAAAACAGTCTTAAAAAAGAACACAATTGGAGGGCTCACATTTCCTGATTTCAAAATCTACTACAAAACAATAGTAGTAGTTCTGCCATAAAGATAGACATATCGATCAATGCAGTTGAATTGAGTCCAGAAATAAATCTTTGCATTTATAGTCAATTGACTTTTGACAAGGGTGCCAACACAACCCAAGGGGGAAAGAGTAGTGTGTTCAACTATCCACATGGAAAAGAATGAAGTTGGGTCCCTGTCTCATACCATGTGCAGAAGTTAACTCAAAATGATCAAAGACCTCAATGTAAGTGCTGAAACTATGAAACTCTTAGATGAAATCATAGAGAGAATCTTCATGAAATAGGATCAGGCAATGGCTTCTTAGATCTGATGCCAGAAATAGGCACAATGAAAGAAAAAAAAAGTAGCTAAGTTAGACTTCCTGAAAGTGAGAACTTCTGTGATATATAGGATATCATCAAGAAAATGAAAAGACAATGCACAGAATGGGAGAAAATCTCTGCAAATCACAGATCTAATAAGGGATTTGTGCCCATTATATAATTTTTTAAAGATTTATTTTTTTTATTTTGGAGAGAGAGAGTGCGCGTGCACACGTGGGGAAGGGGCAGAGGGAGAGGGAGAGAGAGAGAATCCCAAGCAGACTCCCCACTGAGTGCGGGAGCCTGACACGGGGCTTGATCTCATGACCTATGAGATCATGACCTGAGCTGAAATTATGAGTCAGAGGCTTAACTGACTGAGCCTCCTAGGCTACCCCCTTTATATATAATTTTTAAATCTTACAACAATAACAAAAAGACAAGTAACTCAATTTTTTAATAGACAAGGGTCAGAATAGACATTTCTCCAAAGAAGAGATGACCAATAAGCACATGAAAAAAGTACTCAACCACATTAACCATCAGGGAAATGTGTATCAAAACCAGATAAATACCCCTTCTCTCTTAGTTCCTTCAGGCAACTGTAACAAAAACACCATAGTGTAGGTGGCTTATAAACAACAGAAATTTATTTCTCATAGTTCTGGACGCTAGGAAGTCCAGGATCAAGGTGCTGGCAGATTCAGTGTCTGATGAGGACCCACTTCCTAGTTCATAGATGGTCATCTTCTTGCTGTATTCTCTCATGGCTGAAGGCAAGAGAGCTCTCTGGGGTTTCTCATAAGGGCACTAGTCCCATGCATGAGGACTCCACCCGCATGACCTGATTCCCTCCCAAAGGCCTCTCCTCCTAATACCATCACACTAGGAATTAGGTTTAAACATACGGATTTTGGGAGGACACAAACATTCAGTCCATAGCACCTTCATACCCACTAGGATGGCCATAATAAAAAGATAAATATTAACTAGTGTTGGCAGAGAGAAAATGGAAACTTTTCCTGGGGTGGGGGGGATGTAAAATGGTGTATCCATTGTTGAAAAGAGTTTGGTGGTGGGGCGCCTGGGTGGCTCAGTTGGTTAAGCATTGGACTTCAGCTCAGGTCATGATCTCAGGGTCCTGGGATTGAGCCTCTGGTCAGGCTCCACACTCAGTGAGGAATCTGCTTGTCCTTATCCCTCTCTCTCTGCCCTTCCCCCTGCTCATGCTTTCTCTCTCTCTCTTGCAAGTAAATAAAATCTTAAAAAGAAAACAGTCTGGTGGTTCCTCTAAAGGTTAAATATAGAGTTACCACAAAATCCCATAATTCTACTCTGAGGTATGGAGTAGACTTCATATCCAAGAGAAGTAAACTTATATCCATACAAAAGCTTATACACAAATATTCAAAGCAACATTAATAATTCATAATAGCCAAAAAGTGGAAATAATCCAAATATCCATCAATTGATGAATGGGTTATTAAAATGTGATCTGGGGCTCCTGGGTGGTTCAGTCGGTTAGGCATCTGACTCTTGATTTTGGCTCAGGTCATGATCTCAGGGTCATGAGATCGAGCCCTATGTCAGGCTCCACACTGAGCGTGGAGTCTACTTAAGATTCTCTCCTCCTTCCTCTCCCTTTGCCCCTCTCCCCTACCTCAAACCCCCCACCTCAAAATAAAATGTGATCTATCTGCACAATGGAATATTACTCAACAATAAAAAGGAATGAAGTACCAAATGCTACAATATGTTGGACTTTGAAACATCAAACCCAGGACCAGAACACAGGCAGTCTGTTTCTGGATTCTAGACACTTCTACCCTCTTTTATTTGGTTTTCACATGTCACCCCAATGATCAGGAGCATTCTGATTCCTCCTTATTGTTTAAGAGCATTTTGGCTGATCTCCCTTCACCATAACCTCTAGCTTTCTGTGTTGTGCCAATAGGATCAGCAAAGTGCAAAGGAAAGCGGTCAGTGCCATCCACAGCCTTCTGAGCTCTCACGACCTGGACCCGCGCTGTGTCAAACCAGAAGTGAAGGTCAAAATCGCTGCCCTCTACCTGCCTTTGGTTGGCATTATTTTGGATGCTTTGCCGCAACTCTATGACTTTACAGGTAATGATGCCTTCGTGTCCTTCCTTGAATTGATGGGGGCCCCTGCCAAGTGCCCCACTGGAATGAAGTTTCTGCTCTTAGCTCTAGTGCTGATATGTTTGTGTGAGCAGTTTTCCACACTGGTGCTCTCCAGACGTTTTTCATATAAGTCCCAATAAGTTTTGGGGTTTTTGGGGGTTTGGTTTTTTTTCTTCTTTTTTGGTCCCTGTAAGTTTTTCGTTTGTTTGTTTTGTAAAGGACCACAGTCATGTGTGTGTGTTTTAAAATATTTTTTATTTTAATTCAATTATTTAACGTATAATATATTATTGGTTTCAGAGCTACAGGTCTTTGATTCATCAATCTTTTATAACACCCAGTGCTCTTTCCATCACGTGCCATCCTTAATGTCCCTCACCCAGTTGACCCATCCCTCCACCCACTTCCCCTCCAGCAACCCTCAGTTTGTTTCCTAAGAGTCTCTTACGGTTTTTCATTTAGAAATTACTTGTTCAGTCATTCACTCATCTGCTGGTATATGATGAACTTTATAGACCATACATCACAAAGGATGAAATACTAACAGAATTACTCCCGTAGGAGATCACCACTCTAAGGCATTGAAATAAAGGTGTTTCTTCTCTTTTCTCGTATGAATGGCTTAGGAAAGAAGCAGACTCAGATGACCCTAAACAATTGTTCCATATCATGGTGTCGGGGTGCCTGGGTGGCTCAATTGGTTAAGCATCCAACTCTTGGATTTTGGCTCAGGTCATGATCTCAGCATCATGAGAGTGAGCCCTGCATCAGGCTCTGCGCTGAGTGTGGAGCCTACTTGGGATTCTCTCTCTCCTCCTCCTGCCCCTCCCAACTCTAACTCTCTCCCTCTGTCTCTATCTCTCTCAAAAAAATCATGGTAATCATGGTGTCTTCAATATTAGGAAATTCTGCCATGGCAACGGAATTTTGCCTTTGGCCCTAAGAGACTGATTCTGGGGTTGGAAGTCTGTATCTCTCATTTTTCAGCAAGAGGACAATTGTCTTATAGGAGTTTGTGAACCTCCTGAGTTTATTTACATATTACAATGTGGATTAGGGAATGTATATGAACAGAAAATGGGCAAGGGATGTATAGAAGCAAGCTTGGCCCAGGGGGTGAGCATCCTCTGGTGGTGCCTGACTGGAGTCCAGATTGAGAATACAGCTGTCTTCAAGATTTAACGATATAATCCAGAGCACAGCAGATGACCCGTAGACCATTGCCAGAATTTTGCCGAAAGTTTCTAGAAAGTTCCATTTAAAGACCTATGACTCATTTGTTCCCAAAGCAGGGAACTGCTTTAGCACACATTCTCCTAAGCTTCCTTGTTAATGAGAATTTTCCCAGTCACTTTGGATCAGAGCTTTTCAGCGCTTGGCCTTCAGGGCTTTTAAATCTCAATGGTTTCTCAATTCACAGCGGTCACCGTAGCACATACCCTCCCCAGTGTCCATCACCCACTGCTGTGAATTGTGCAAGACTGTTGAATCACAGATCTGTACCTCTGAAACAAATAATGCAATATATGTTAAGAAAAAAAAAAAGAAGATAGCAGGAGGGGAAGAATGAAGGGGGAGGGAAATCGGAGGGGGAGACGAACCATGAGAGATGATGGACTCTGAAAAACAAACTGAGGGTTCTAGAGGGGAGGGGGGTGGGAAGATGGGTTAGCCTGGTGATGGGTATTGAGGAGGGCACGTTCTGCATGGAGCACTGGGTGTTATGCACAAACAATGAATCATGGAACACTACATCAAAAACTAATGATGTAATGTATGGTGATTAACATAACAATAAAAACAGGTACAAAAAAAAAGAACTTCATAATGAGGGGCATCTGCATGGCTCAGTCAGTTGAGCAGCTGCCTTTGGCTTGGGTCATGGTCCCAGGGTCCTGGGATCGAGCCCCACGTCCGGGTGCCTGCTCAGCGGAGAACCTGCTTCTCCCTCTCCCTCTGCCTGCCACTCCCCCTGCTTGTGATCTCTCTCTGAAATAAATAAAATCTTTTAAAAAAAAAACCTCAGTGGTTTCTTGATGTATGGCATTGACCTTTATAGTCATGATGTAGCTGACAAAAGGGAAAACAGTGAAGGTATTCTATTATTAGAGGTAATATAGCGCATCTATTACATATGGAATCCTTAATACTAAGAAGAATATAGTTTTTTAAACAGATACAGCTGAATTCAAATTCCAGCCCCTTTATTGCTACATGTGACCTTTGAAAAATTCCTCAACCTTTCAATGCCTTCCTTCCCCTTCCCTCAACTGTAAAAATGTGGTAACAATGTCTACATCTTAGCATTGTGATAAGGATGAACTGAGAGACCCTCTATAAAAGCATTTTATGTGGCAAATGTTTATATCCTTCTCTCTGTCTTTTATAACCATGATCCTGTGCATATTTAGGGGAAGTAAGAATGCATCCTCAAATCTGATAATGTTACCAGATCTTACATAATTGCCACATGCTACTCATTTTACCATTTGTTTAAAAACTCAGCTGCCTTTAAACACAAATAGTGAACTCTTATTTTAAAAAACTGTTCTAAAAATATTTGAGTTCTGTTTTCAGAATTTTAGAAGAAGGAAATACTGTTTGCAATCTAATTTTCCTGAAAAATTGAAGATACAAATACTTACAATGTTGACAAGCATAACAAAATATGAGTTTTTAATGAATCAATGAGTTGCAAGTGATTTAATAACACTTTTCTAAGAACTGCTTAAGCAAAAACTTTGTGTGTGATTGGTAGTGAAAAACCAACCTTTTAAGTGGTGGGTCCTTTTTTTGTCCCCACACATCTAGATCTACATAGAAACATAGGTATGTCTATATTATGTAGAGATAATAAATTAACATTCATTTCAGATATTTGAAATTTAATACATTATTGCCGAATTTGTGACCTGTTAGCTTGTTAATTTATAAAGAACTGAATAGTTCTGTAATTACAGGTTCCTTTCTGTTTGGTCATTATTTAAAATATATGAATAGAGTAAAAAATATATTATACACCTGAAACTAATATTATACTAACTAACTGGAATTTAAATAAAAACTTAGAAAAAAAATTAAAAATATTATATTACAGGGAAGTGTTATGAATGCTTTGAAAATTTTTATTTTTACAATTTGAAAAATTAATTTCTAGCTGAATCTTTTGCTGAACATTTTGTCTCTTTTATTAGCCTGCCTGCTTTTTCCTAGAGATGGTAGCAATTTAGCAGTAATGCTAAACATCAGGGTTGTTTTTTTTTTTTAAGATTTATTTACTTATTTGAGAGAGAGAGAGTGTGTCGGGGGTAGGGGCAGAGGGAGAAGGAGAGAGAGAGAATCTCAAGCACACTCCCCACTGAGCAAGGAGCCTGATACGGGGCTCAGTCTCACAACCCTGAGATCATGATCTGAGCTGAAATCAAGAGTCAGATGCTTAACCGACTGAACCACCCAGACACCCCAGTAGACATCAGGTTTTAAATTACTGTGCTGACTTTAGTGACTAATAAGTATCAGTTCCTCTGTGGGTAGGAGACATAGGGAAATACTGTTTTGGGCTTCACATCAGCAAAGATTTTTTTTTTTTTTTTTAACTTTTAGAGAGCAAAAATTGAACAGAAAGTATAGAGACTTCCCATATACCCCCTGCCCCCATGTATATACAGCTTCTCCTGTTGTCAGCATCCCCCACTGGAGGGGTACATTGGTTACCACTGATAAACCTACAGCAATACATCATAATTACCAAAGTCCATGGTTTACATTAGGGTTCACTCTTGGGGTTGGTAAATTCTGTGGGTTTGGACAAATATATAATGCTGTGTATCCATGATTATAGTATCAACCAGAGTCGTTTCTCTACCCTAAAATTCCTCTGTGCTCTGCCTGGTCATCCCTCTCTCCCCCAACCCCTGGCAGCCACTGAACTTTTTATCATCTCTGTAGTTTTGCCTTTCCCAGATGTCATAGAGTTGGAATCATATAATATGTAGCCTTTTCCGATTGACTTCTTTCACGTAGCATACGTTGAAGATTCCTCCGTGCCTTTTCATGGCTTGATAGCGCATTTCTTTTTACTGCTGAATAATACTCCATTGTCTTATCCATTCATCTGCTGAAGGACATCGTGCTTGCTTCCACGTTTTGGCCATTAGAAACGTGCAGATTTTTGTGTGGGCATAAATTTTCAACTCCTTGCCTAAATACCAAGAAGCACCGTTGTTGGATCATATGGTAAGGCCAATGATGTTTTCATTACAGCTGCAGATGCCCGTAGTGGAAAAAATCGTGCCAATGGCTCGGATGAAGACCAAGAAGGGACCAGTACAATTAACCAGAACGTGGCGCTGGCCATAGCCGGAAACAATTTTAATTTGAAGACAAGTGGAACAATGCTTTCTTCCTTGGTATGTTGGTGCACCTTTCTCTGGTTTATTTTTTGTCCTGTGTCTTGTCCCATCTTCTCATGGGCTTGTTCTTGTATTTACCTACTGGAACCCAGAGCAGAGCGGGCTGTGAGATTCCCGCCTCTTTGCTCAGTTCTGAAAGGCATCTGCGTGGAGCTAGCAGCTGAGAAGGGGAACGGCACACATGAGGCCGCAGAGTCGCAGGTGGTCCTGGCTGCAGCGGTAGGTCCACAGGCCAAATGCAGGCAGTCTCAACGGTGCCTGAGTTCAAGGTTCAGAGCACCAGAAAGAGGTGAACTTGGGATATCTGAGATCGGCGCAAAGAAGATCAAACCAAGGCTCCCTCGGGTGGGAGGCTTGAGTGGTGTTTATTCTATGTTTATCATTCACACTATGTTTGCCTCCAAAAAAATGGTTGAAATGGTTGAAGGGGCCAGTTGCTTGGGGTGAGTACTTCTTAGGCAAAAGACTTCAGCTTTTCTGGGTCCCCAGGGAGCCCAAACAGAGTAGGATAGCTCTGTCCTTTTGCACAGACTCTGGGCTTAAAGAGCAGCACCTCCAGGAACACAGTGTCTGATTTCCTTGAGGTGGGAACTCCATTCCTTGAGGAGCTCGATTCTTCCTTTGGCAGACAGTGACAGCGCCGCATTGTCCAGCTTCATTTAACTTTGCGTTTCAGTGTAACGTATACATCTGCAGAGCACTCCACTTGGTTCTCTCCTGGGAAAGGCAGCATCTAGACCTAAGTAGCTTCTCTGCTGGATGGCTTTCCTCTCTTCCCTCTAGCACTTAGCAAGCCCCCACCCTCAGGACAGCCCCGGGAGGGCTGGAGGGCAGGGATGTAAGAAAGAAAAAAGACCCTTGAGAGTTGACATCACTCATCATCCTGCAGTTGGAGACATACTGTGTTTTATGACCTCCTTCACCTTAATAATGTGCATCTTACCAAAGTTAGCTGCCTAAGGCAGTGTAGATGCAGATACATTGTTAATTGGCTCAAAGGGCATATGCTCAGATGCCCAGAGTTCACCATTAGAGGATCTTCCCTAGGAAGTTATCACTAAGGTTTTCATATCTTCTTGTCACCATACTCAGGAAGACTAAACTAATTTCATAAGCCTTGTCATTCCCAAACCAACATTTCCTGCACATACTCACAAACAGGCGGTTTCACATTCCACTGGGTATTAGCTACACCGTGTGAACCAAGGGGGCAGCCACATAGTGTTCTTTGTCTTGATTGGATGAGTAAAAGAAAGTGTGCTCAGCACTCAAAATCGAACACTTGGGACCCAGGCCTTAAAGCAAAGAGCCTGAGCCCCCACCCCCCACCCCACAGGAAAACATAAATTGTAATTGAAGTCCCAGCACAGAGGACTCCACTAAATTAGGGATTTGATTCATTTGATTCATGAATGACCCTCATATTATACTTTGGACTCTGACACCAGAAGTTAATTCTTGAACAGTTAGGATGTTTCTGGAGCCTGGCTAGTCTTGTTCTCTGCTCTAATTTCAACCCTCTGGTGTCCCACTGGAAGGAGAAATACTTGGAATCTTAGCAGCTTGGAAGCTCCCTTTGTATCATTGAGACTGGGGGGGGGGGGCTGGTCAAGGCAGGACAGACCATCAGACCACACTGCTCCGGAGCCGGAGGGTGCCACAGGATGTGGCTGAAAGCCTGGCTCAGACACTGCCCCACGTGAGCCCCTTTGCTGAGCACCTCAGCTCAGGGAACGCAGTTTTGTAGCCCTGGAAAGGTTGGGCTCCTGAAAACAGTTCCCCAGCCAGGGACGAAGTACAGTGCCTGTGTTCTAAGAGCTTAGCATCCCCTAAGTTTTGGGGTGCCCATGGCTCTACTTCTTCCCCTGCGTCCATCTCGCCCTCGCCTCCCTGCAGCCCTACAAGCAATACAACATGCTGAATGCCGACACGACCCGCAACCTCATGATCTGCTTCCTCTGGATCATGAAAAATGCCGACCAGAGCCTCATCAGGAAGTGGATCGCCGACCTGCCATCCATGCAGCTAAACAGGATCTTAGATCTCCTTTTTATCTGTGTCTCGTGTTTCGAGTACAAGGTGAGTGTGAGGTGGCTCAGCCTTGCACCAGCTCTTAGCTCCCAAGTTCAGGTCGATGTTGTTACTACGGTTCCCCTTGGCTTGGGGGTGGGGGGGGAGGCACCATCTGTTGGTCTCACTTCTGTATTAAAACCCATAACCTCTTTACATTCTAGATACGGCCATTTCTCAGGGGAAGGATCTCTGCCTTCTGCAGAGAGAACCTCATCCCATTGTCATTTGCAGGATAGGACACCCCCAAAGAGTATCTCCATGGGGACACATGTCCCAACTGGCTGTTCTTCACTGCAGAGTGTTGTGTTTTGGGGGTTCTCCCCACGCACAGACATCTCACCACACTGAACAGCCTTCTGCCTCTTTCCTGTCCAGGGAAAACAGAGTTCTGACAAAGTCAGTACCCAAGTCCTGCAGAAGTCAAGGGATGTCAAGGCCAGGCTGGAAGAGGCTTTGCTCCGCGGGGAAGGGGCCCGGGGGGAGATGATGCGGCGCTGTCGGGCTCCAGGTGTGTTGGCCTTGCCCTTCCCTGCTTCCCGTCAGTGAGTTTTACACCCTCGGTGAGGAGAAGCGTCCTCACAACGCGAGTAGACCTACCACTGCTTTCTTAAGATTTTAGGATAATAAAGACAAGCAGGTTCCCGGATTCTGTGCATGATGTATGGAATGTTAGCTGTGTACTTGCGAAGGAAGGCTGCTGTCCTGAGGTCACAGGAACCCTGGAAATGTCCCCAAATGTGTCTTCTGTTTAAGACTTGTCAGCGGTACAGGTCACATCCAAGGACATGAGTCACAGGATAGGTGGGATGTGGTCACCCTCAAGGTCAAAGCCTCTCCCCGGGGCATTTGACTACTCGTCTTTGTGGAGCACGGTCAAGACGCTGGATAATTCTGATTCCAAAATCATCTCCCCAGATCATTCAAGACATTACTAAAACACAAACGATTCCCCACCCCAACCAGGTGTGTCCGAGTGTTCCAGGCCTGCCAGGAATGATCTCAAAAAGGCTGACCTCACTGCTGTAGAGTAGAGTGAGGTTCTCAGGCATGCTCCGTCTTAGTCACCATGCTCAAAGTTACAGGGTGACAGCTCGTTCTATGCAGTGGGACACAGTGGCTGGAAGCTTGGGGGGAGCTCAGCTCTTGCAGTGGTGGTGGGAGGGCACGCCCATTTAACACCCACATGCTCCTCTTCAGTAATTCACTGAGAACCCCAGTTTCACTGGAACGCTCTGTTCAGGACACATGTGCTCACCCACACTCCAGAAAGGCAAGGGTTCTAAAGCTGTAGGCTGTCAATCAAAGCGCAGGTGGCCAGGTCCTGGGCAAAGCCATGTCTCCTCCTGGCGTCCCGCATGGGCTCTAATTAGCCGGAGGCGCGGTGCTGAGTCCTCTCCCCCGAGCTTGTTACGGAACTTGTGGTTATCTTAGAGGGTTTCGTGCTAATCACATTCCTCTCGTGCATTTCTTAACTCCTAGGGAATGACCGATTTCCAGGCCTCAGTGAAAATTTGAGATGGAGGAAGGAGCAGACACATTGGCGGCAGGCTAATGAGAAGCAAGATAAGTGAGTCACTCAGCAACTTTGTGCTACTTTTACCTAAAGTCTAAAACGCTTTTTCCCAGGCTACTTGTATTACCGAAACAACTACATCCTTCCAAGGATAAGAAAGTGAAACATCATTATCTGGGTAAATTCACTTCGTCCAGGGACCCAGGATAACCAAAGGTATAAGAAGTTATGATTTTCAGCTCTGAAAACTTGACCACACTGATAAGCATTTAAAGAAAACTGATATTTAGCAATCTCAGATAGCTTGACAAAAGCTGCTGGAGGGGACAGGACAGGGCACCCAAGACCACATAGTTCAAATTCATATTTCCATTCCGGAAGCATGTACAAAAGGTGTAGTCAGAGATATTTATGTCAGTATCACTCAATATTTTTAAAATGGAAACATTGTAAATGCTCAAGAATAGGTGTAAGGAAATGTTAGGTTGCTATTAAAATTTCATGACATGGGACATGCTTATGATATAATGTTAAGTGAACCAAAGCAGGACAGACACTTGATTTTAGAGTAGAATCTTAAATCTCTAACTACATAGGGTAAATACATTTTAAGACTGGCAGGAAATTTACCAAAATATTAACAGCGATTTTCCTTGGGTGGTTCTCTTTGGGTGTTGAGGTAATCGATGTTCTTTTCTTTATACTTTGCTGTATCTCCTACAATGGGTATGTGTATTATTCTCTATACATAAACACACATATGCACATATATACACATATGCATAAGATAATACATGCTATTATCAGCAAAAAATATAAAAAATGAAAGAAGAAAAATCCTGCTGCTTGGATTGCAACGTATGAGATATATATGTGTAAGAATTTGAATACATAAGGACATACAACTAGATATGTTGAACAGAGAGCTCATGTCTGCCATTCCTCTTTGCAGCAGATAGCCTAATGAATATCAGGGTCCACTGAGCAAAACATTACATGGTTAAGGACCCTGCCCCACACACTTGACAAGGTATAGGTCGTCCATCTCCTCGGGGTATGAAGCCCCCATCACGGAGGTGTGGGGGTAAGGCAGGCTTGAATAACGTTGTTTCGTCAGTAAATACGTTTACTGTCTTTGTTATCATCACAAGAATGAATCATTCTAGTCCACTTATGGGACTTTTGAGAGTCAAATTTATTTTAAAACATTTTTATTACAGATGTTACTGAGAAAGCCTAGTTGTTGCTCTTATTAGTAATATCCATTTGCTGTGGGTATTTTATTCTTGCTTTAAATTCCCTGAACTAATTTTTGAGATGTTTGGTTTTGAGAACCCATAAATTCTAGCTCAGGCCATGCTCACCCTGTCTTCCCCAAAAAACAAAAAGAAAGAAAGGCACATGGAGTTATGTGCTACAGAACCGCTTAGGGGGTTGGGCCATTTCCTCTCTGAGATTAGGAGAAGAGCCTAACAAGATATGTTTGGCCCGGGCTGCATAAATTGAGGTTTTGGGAAACCTGCCCCTTTTGCTTGCAGAAATAACACCACACTGAGCCTTTCCATGCAGGGCCTCCCAGTACTCCCTGGTCAGGGGCACCGTGGGTTATTTTGTTTTGTTTTGTTTTGTTTTTCAAGAGAAACCGTAGTGAGATTTAGCTATTTGGAAAACTTTTTGTCATTATAATAGCGGTGTCTTTCACCTTTTTCTTTCAGATCATTTTTTAATTATTTTGGATCTGTTTCTTTTAGAGCAGTAATTTTCAACTGGGCTATACGCTAGAATCACCAGGAAAGCTTTTAAAGCTCCCAGTGCCCAGATGTACCCCAGAACAATGAATTCAGAACCTCCCACAGTAGGACCCAGAAATCAGGATTTGGTAAAACTCTAGGCAATGCTGTTGTCCAGTCCAATTTTAGAACCAACGTTTTAAAGGACAGGCTGGTAAGCTTTCTAAAAACTGGATTAGAGGCAGTGATAGTTGAATGAAAATACAAGTGTACTTAATACCACTGAATTGTACACTTAACAGTGGTTAAGATGGAAAACTTTATGTTATGTGTATTTTACCACAATTGAAAAACTTTGACAACAAAAATGAAAACCAGATCTAGGTCTGCATTGTCCCATAGGGTAGCCACATTAGTTATACAAGTGAAACATAGGCCAGATTTTGACGATTTAGCACCAGTGAAGGAATGGAAAAGGTTTCATAAGTAATTTTTATAGTGATTACACATTGACAATTTTTTTTCTATAATGGGTCAAAAAAAATATTTTCGGTTACTTTCACCTGTTTCTTTTTGCTTTCTTTAGTGTGGCTACTACAAAATGGAGAAGATATTTGTGTTCATCATTATGTGTCTGTTGCATGGCATTGGTCCAAATCAAAATCTACCAATATATTTTTTTAAAATAGCTTTTATATTTCACTTTCCTTACACAAATACTATCGCCTGCAGAATGAAAAACAACGTAGAGCCCCTTGGGACCAGAGAGCCTATCCTAAGCTTGAAAATTTTAAAGATTTTATTTATTTGTCAGAGAGAAAGAGAGAGCACAAGCAGGGGGAGCGGCAGGCAGAGGGAGAGGGAGAAGCAGGTTCCTCGCAGAGCAGGGAGCCCGATGCGGGACTTGAGCCGAAGGCAGGCTCTTTATCGACTGAGCCACCCAGGCGCCCCGGTTTGGAAACATTTAAAACACAAGGAAGTATTTATTCTGAGCCCTCAGAGGCATATAAGCAGAGGCAGAGATCCCATTGTTGGGTGAAGGGGACTCAAGAACAGCTAGGTGGTGATCCTGGTCCAAGATTTCTGGGCTCACATCATGATGCCCCAACCCCTAGAGTGACATTTTGGCCTCGGGGGTGTCTTGGGGAAATGAATTCTTCACACTTCCATTTTCTGGCCACTAAATTTAGATGATACAAAATATCCCTTTCCAGCTTCACTTAGATTTTATGAGAATCAATGAACTAGTGCCTGAAATATTCTGGTTCCTCAAAATGGAAACCTCACAGAGAAGCAGCGCCAGGCGATTTCCCGTTCCCTACCATTCCCTAGTGGGTAGTAACCAGTAAACACCCAGCGGGATGTTAGATGACCTGCTGTCCTGCAGGAATGCCACCTTGCTGCCCACTGGGGAAAAAACAAAAGGTCCCCACTTGACCGAGCAACCCCCCAAGGTGGTCTTTGGGAAGTCAAGAGACTGACTCTTCCCTGCCCCAGTTCAGAAGTAGCAGCTTTCCTAATCCAGCAGCAGTGTTGTCTGCCAAGTTCAGATCCCATCCATCCCCACTCCCCCTGCCTGTGGCACAGACTTCCCTTGATTCTGATCTAGAGATGGTTCTCATGCAGGAAATCCAGGAACGGCCCGAGGCTTCACACAGCAATCGGATTGGCTAGCCTAACTGCTAGTAGCGACCAGTAATTGCTTTTCTCCCCATTTTTGTTATTTCTATAACTGTCATCATTATTAGGCACTAATCTCAGAAAGGGTCCTGCACTCTTTGGTTACCTGTGGCCAGCTCCTCTGTTTTCATTTCAGGATGGACTATTCAGAACATTTCTTTATGCTTTGGTGCATAGATTTGCCATCACTGAAATATGGCCAGGGTTGATATGCTCTTTAATTTGACCTCTTTTTTTTTTCTTAGAACAAAGGCAGAGTTAGATCAAGAAGCCCTGATCAGTGGCAATCTGGCTACAGAAGCAAATTTAATCATCCTGGATATGCAGGAGAACATTATCCAGGTGAGGACAACACACACCTGATCTGTTCGACATGTTTACTGGAATTTAATAAGGAATTCTTTATAGATAATTGTGAAAGAAATGTGATCCCAAAATACCCCCCCCCTTTTTTTTTTTTTTTTTTACCATTTACAATAGCGTTCACCTTACAAATTCCAGAGATACTCAACATTCTCCTGGCTTCTTTGACTCACTGCTCACTTAGGTGCTTGACGAGGTGACCCTCGTAGTTAAATCTGCCAAGTGTATACCCAAGTGTAGAGCGTAGACGGTGGCTTGTGGCTGATGATCTAGAAGAGGGATGGTAGCTAGGGTTTTTGTTTTGTTTTGTTTTGTTTTTTGTGATGGGCCAACTCCAGTTGAATTAAAGTTGACATCTAGTATGGGAGCGAAGGTTATGACTGGACTAGGTGGAAAAGGTGCTAGGTCTGAATAATGAGGTCTACTTTGGACACTGATTGGTGAAGGAAAGTTACTTGTACCATGAATTTGCCATCCCTCGCCGTGAACATTGCAGTAAGACAATTTACCATACTAATTTTATCTCCTAAGTGAGTGTTTCCAAAAATTCCCAAGAAGTCCAGGTCATAATGGGGTTTTGGTTAACCTGAGAAATGAGTCCCTCCATGTTTCCAGCGAGAAATCATTTATTCGGGTAGATCCAGTGTTGCTTTTTGGAGCTAGGAATAGAAATATTGTTGAAACCCAGGGAAACCTTAGTTATCCTACTTTTAGGCGGTCTAAAATCAAAAGAATTGTTATAGAAACATAAAGACAAAAAGTATGTGGTGTCTTTGATATCTTAAACACTTGGCATCATATTGATTATATCTCTATCCCTCACTGCTTTGACTGCTATGTACTTACCAGTTCTCAAAATGGTTTTTTTTTTCCCCAAAGAAATGGCACTTATCTGTCATTCTCTTTGGTGGTATTAGTCTTGCTGTTCTGTTTAGAAACACTGCTGCCATCAAGCAGCCCCTTTTATACTGGGAGGCTGACAGTTGTGTTTTGGAAGCCCACAAGGAAAGCTGTGCCTTCTATATAAAGAAGGAGCATTCCAAGAGCTGTTGTCTGGGGTGGGAGGATGGGATGCCTTATAACTTAGTTCAGCAGCCCGGAATTGGGCATAAATCCCAAATCATTTGGGAGTTTTGGAATAAAGTCATTTGGAAATAGGTCTTCAGCTGTCGTGGTAATGGATGATGTGTGTGGGGTGGCCAAATCCTGAAGATCTTAGACTAAGAGAGATGGAATGTCAGCATCGCTGTGCTAGTTGTCAAGAGCGCCGACTTGTGTCCTTCACCCCTCTGCTCCCTGGCACAGGGATTCAGTGACGCTGTTCTTCCGTTCCCCTCAGGCAAGCTCGGCTCTGGACTGTAAAGACAGCCTGCTGGGAGGTGTTCTAAGGGTCCTGGTGAATTCTCTGAGCTGCGATCAGAGCACCACCTACCTGACTCACTGCTTTGCGACACTCCGGGCTCTCATTGCCAAGGTAAACATGGGATGCTTGTTTTCTTACTCCTAATTAAGAGCTGAGAATCTCATCTGGCTTCACACTTCTCCCATCAGGTGCCCCCAAACCCACACAGCACGGTATTTAGTGACATCAAGGTAATGGTCTTAAGTCTCCCTAAGAATAAAGCAGATGCCCTGATTTTTTGAGAACTCACCATTAAGAACAACAGTGGCTCTCACACTTGAAATGTGGATGGAACTATAGACATTTGACATGGCCACTCACTGGAGACATGAGGGCAAAACCAGCTGAGCACCTTTATCTTTCACCCTTTCCAATACAGCATCTGGGTGAGCTTAATGTCCTGAACATGATGCCCATCAGTAAGTCTTGCAAAATGCCTTGTCATGAAATGAGAGAAGATTTAGAAGTAAATTTCTCATAGCCTGAAGAATATAGATTTTCCTTACATCAAGTGGTCTAATGCAGTTTACTTTCTCCCCCTGGATTGGAAAGCTCTCAGTCGGTACCTTCTTAATGGGATCTTTTACATTTTTTAAGTTTATTTATTTATTTAAGTAATCTCTACATTCAACATGGGGCTCAAACTCACAACCCAGAGATCAAGAGTTGCATGCTTTTCCAACTGAGCCAGCCAGGAGCCCCAGGATCACTTACATTTACAAAGTAGAATTCTCCTGCTCTCCCCACTCAGGATTATTTTTTCTTTCTTTTCTTTCTTTTTTTTTTTTT